CTCTCTCTCTCTCTCTCTCTCTCTCTCTCTCTCTCTCTCTCTCTCTCTCTCTCTCTCTCTCTCTCTCTCTATCCATCTATCTATCTATCTCACACACACACACACACACACACACACACACCTCTGTATCTGTGCATTTTGTCACAGCCATCCACTGGATAACTTGAGTGATAGAACAGTTATTGCCGTGGTGGAGAACAATCACCACCATGAAAGATTTGTTTCTCCTATTCTCGAAAGAACAGGTCCTTATGGACCCGGCCCAATATCCATCCTGGGGTCATCAAGCCGATTTCCTTTTTTGCCCCCTCCAAAATGCCTTTCCCCGACTTTATTATATCTGCTGGGAACCAGGTCCAGTGTCCCTTACAGAGATGACCCACTCAATGCTCCCTTCCATTATGGCTGAAGGACCCTGACACAGGGGCATTGATTGCTTCCTTGCTGGGAAGGATTTACCAGGGCGACGCTTGCCCATCTATTATCTCATCTCAGCCCCTCCGGACTGCTGGAAATTTCCTCATACACCTAGAGCTAACTTAGGGTAGGTGGAGCAGATTGGGCCCAATTGCTCCCCCGTTCAAAAGAGTAAACAGGATAAGCCTTGTTAAGCCGGCTTCTTTTCCTGCCTATGTTCCCTGACAGCGTTGACTGCTTCCTTGTGGAAGGATCGGCTGCCAGCAAGCCCATTCATTTATGCCTTGGCTCTCTTTATGGGTGAAGAACGCCTGGTCATTATCGATGCATGTAGACACAGCTATAATGACCGGGCGTTCTCTTTTTTTTTTTGTTTTTCTCGATTTATGCGTGTCATCCTTGCGCAGGGGCCATGCTAATCTTCTCTGTATCGTTCCAATTTTAACGGATGTCCCGAAGGACAATGACCGGGCGTTCTATTTGGGTGAAGACTGCAGTTCCTTTGATGCTCGACTCTCACAGCTCCTCTCTGTCTACCCTTATGTGCAAAACCCGGCCTGTAGCCTACGTTCTCCTGGACCCAGGGCCTAAGCCCAAGTCTACCCCTTTTACAACAACACCAAACTGAGGCCCGAGTTGCCCGAAGCGGTCCTCATCCAACGCGCCACCTTCGCCGGCAAGCCAGGAGGGGGTAGATAATATACCCAGCCTTGACCCTTCCCCACGTTACGGCCCGCGGACCCCTCACAGCATTGATTGCTTCCTTCCGAACGATAGACTGTCAGCCGAGCGCATGCTTGATGCAAAACCCCCCCCCCCCCCCCCCCCCCCCAGACAGAAATACCCCAAAAAAAACTGGCTCAAAGGTCAGTCAGAAAAATTTCCAGAAGGAAACTAAGTCAGACTGTCACAAATCTCGGTAAGACCCGGAACAAATTGCGCTGACCACAGAAGATGTCCTTCTGGTCGGCTACCCTGCCTGTTCCACCCCTTCCTTCGGCTGTGCGTCCCGTTGCAGCTGCTGCCTCCTGCTGACCCGTTCCCATGTCGATAAGGTTGCTTTGTAGGCGTCTGGGGTCTGCTTCAATCCACTTCTTGAGTTGCAAATTGTCAACTATCTATCTCTGGTCTACGGCCTTGAGATATCGTCATTTGAACGGACCGGGCCCGGTAATTCAGAATAACTGTAGTATGTCACTAATCTGCTTCCAGCGGAGTTCGAACTCAGGTCTGTATTTTAACAGTTCAGGAGGTGGACCAACTGAGCTAGGTCAGTTGGTGGGTGTTTTTGAACCCTGAGTTCGCAGATATTCCAATCCACTGGTAGTTCTGTCTCCGCCGTTTCCTTATATCGTGATCTACCCCAAGTGTGGCTTTCCGTATTCAGGTTGCCCACAGGGCTAGCTTTCCTAATACGGAAAGGCCTGGCAACGTCCCTTTCGGTATACTGCACGGACGTTGCCATATACGGCAAAGTCCTTTCCGTATTCAGGTTGGCCACAGGGATGCTTCCCGCACCACTGTGCAAGATTCAAGAACGCAACAAATCTTAGAAATGCAAAAATCCAAAAAGGGCAGCCAAACAGTCAACCTACGCTGCCACACATACTTTTTTTAAACTTTTCAGTTTAAAAGGCTACGGCATTGAGGTATCATCAGTGAGCTGACCAGGGACCAGGTAATTCTGAGTTAATTCTACTCATCTGAGTCCATCATGATTCGAACTCAGGTCTGCTTATCGACACTCCATGGGTTTGTACTAACCTTGTACTAACTTTCTAGTAACTTTGTAGTAACTTTGTAGTAACTTTGTAGTAACTTTCTAGTAACTTTCTAGTAACTTTGTAGTAACTTTGTAGTAACTTTGTAGTAACTTTGTAGTAACTTTCTAGTAACTTCGTACCATTCGGACACATGAGCTGGGGAGTCAACATACATAGTACATACCAAGGGAAGCACGCACAATCGTGTTTTAGCCTTTAGGGAGTTTGATCTAGGATGACCACCACAGACAGTGCCAGAGGAAAGAGGCTGGTCAGAATGCCGTGAGGTCCTCAGCTGACTCCTTTTTTCCCCCCTTTTCAGAAGGGCGACGGCCTTGAGATATCATCATTTGATCTGGCCGGCCCTGGGTAATTCATAATTGCAGTATTTACTCATCTGCTTCCAGTGGAGTTCAAACGCACATCTGTATTTCAACAGTTCCGCGGTGTACCAACTCAGCTGGGCCAGAGTACTGGAATGGAGGGTGGGGTACGGTAGGGTAGGGTAGAGCAGGGTAGGGTAGGGTAGGGTAGAGTAGGGTAGAGCAGGGTAGGGTAGGGTAGGGTAGGGTAAAGTAGGGTAGGGTTGGGTAGGGTAAGGTAGTATTACCTCTTCTCTCTGTGCGCTTCATCATGATTGTCCGCTCTCTCCCAGGTTACCTCATCATTACCGTCGGCCTCTTTTTTTATTCCCCTTTTTTTCATTTTCGGATGCTACGACTCCTAGGGGAGACTTGCAGGTGCACTTTCTCCGGTGTACCAGATTAGAGGGGAAAAGGACCGGATTAAATTAGGAAAGGCCCAGAGTGAGCATGCCCTTGACCTTGCACAGCCCATTCTTGAGATTCTTGCTAGCCGATTCCTAATTTCAATCCGTCAAGCAAACTCGTCATTGGCCTGGCATGCCCAGACTCTCTAGTCATTGCACAGTGGTAGACCTCCTCGCTACCACTTTGCAAATTTCTGACAAAGCAGCCAGACACATATCAATTGACGCACATCCCCTCCATTCTCATTTTATATCTAAACTTCTAAAGCATAAAGCGAAACCAAGGGCACCAACTGGCCTAGCTCAGTTGGTACTCCCCCAGACTGTTGAAATACAGACCAGGTGCGGAGTTCGAACTCCACTGGAAGCAGATAAGCGAAATACTTACTACAATTCTGAATTACCTAGGGCCAGTCAGTTCAATGATAATATCTCAAGGTTGTTGCCCTTTTTTTTTCAAAAAGAAAAAAAGGAGAAACCAAGGGCACATTCCACATTGTCATTGTTCTCTATCGCAAGACCACGGCATGAATGATGACTGTGGATGCACTTGCATGCACTCAATCATGCAAGAGAATGCAGTGGGCTGCATTATTTACGACCCACAGCAAGATGATGATCATCGTGGGTTTGCCTATGCTCCCTCTCACCATCGTCCCCTCCGCGTACCCTGTGCTGTTGCCACTGCCTCCAGCCCCTCTCACTGTCCTCCCCTTTCCATACTCCCTCCTTCCTTTCTATCTTCCCTCTTCGTCCTGCTGCCTCTTGTTCCTCTCCTTATGCACCCGGCTCCATATCTATCGGGGGAGTGTCAGTCCGGTTCCTTTTCCACCGCCAAGTCGCGAATTTACAGAACGACTCACTCACGCTTCCTCCCGTCTGGCCGAGGGACCCCTAATCAACATTGATTGCCCCTAATCGGAGGATCGACTGTCGGCTTGCCACTTTCGTAACCTCTTCTTCCCAAATCCCACTCCTAGTCTCCGTCCACAACCGGTTAATCAAGAGATCCAAGCTGTCTTGCAGCATTTTCTGGGCAGCGTCAGTTCTTTCCACCAGCAAGTACTGACCATGATACTTCATGCCCACTCAGCATATCCCTGCTCGTTAACAGAGGATTGATTGTCAGCTTGCCTCTCTCCTGATGTGTTCCTCTCAGATGCATGTGCGCTGCCTCTGAAAGGCGAGTAAACCAAGAACGCTGAGGAGAGAGAGCTGATGGGGAAGCCAGCAGTTGACAGGATGGGGGGCTCTAGTTGTGACCCCTTATTATAGCCTGATTGTCAGCCTTCAGAACTCTCGCCTGGAAGAATGATGCCTTTGTTCGGCTCCGATCCCACTTCTTCGACCCGAGTGTGTTCTCTTCGATAGCAGCACTCTTGCCTCGTACGAGCCAGGTCCTGAGAAATAGTCGTCTGCTGTCCGCAAACTTGTCTGGTCCCTCTTTAGCCACCTGCTAGAACGAGCGCCATCCACAGCGGATCTTCGTCTCCACCATGGCCATCAGCTGGGCCCAGGATTTCTTTTTCGCTACGAGTTCCCCCTCAATGGTCTGTCCACATCTTCTTTTCCCAATTGCTCAGAGCA